GAGTCGTCAACGGTGCTCACAAGTCTTTACTTTGAGCTGCATGCTGGCACGCGTGCACTGTGGCAACGTACCTTTGACTCCCTTGAGCCACGCGATCGGACGCGCTTCACACGCTTCGTTCTCCTCATTCCGCCATTGCCACCACCTCTTGCCGACGACCCACCAATGGTCCAAACCACCGAGAACGACGAGGCCGTGACGCCCATCAGTGTTCTTGACACGCTCGTGCATCTCCCGGTGGTTGCACTGCGGCGCTTACTGCAGACGACGGACGAGTGGACGCAAAACGATGTGGTGCTCGTCGCGTACACGCTTCGTCGTCTCCACCCGCTGTGCGTCGACGCCTTCTTGACGCTCTTGTGGATACCGCCGACGACGCGTGAGCTTCTCTACGTCGTGCTCAACGACACGGTCGATGACGAGCCGGTGCAACTCTTACAGACGCTCGTCGCGCTCGTAAATGATGCCGATGCGACGCACGGTGTGTCCCTGCACCGTGTCCTCTCGTTCTTTAGCACAATTGACGCCGAGCACGCGCGGAGCTTCTTTCGCAATGTGCTCACGACCGAAATCGTGTTCAATGTGCAGCTGCTGGGCTTTGTCTTGTCGCCGCCCCAGGAGATGGTGCCCATGGCGTGTCTCCGCCTGCTCTTGCACCTTCCGTCGCTCGCGCATGCCCAGCTGCTTCAAATGCTCTGCGACCCGGCGCGGTCGCCGTTGAACCTGCTCGTGTGGAGCGACCTCCTCCTCGCCGTCTCGAGCGTCACGGCGGCGACGGTACTGGCGATCGTCCAGCCACTTGCACCCAGTGCAATGGCAAACGTCTTTGGCTACCTGCATACCCTCAACGACGAGGCCGAGTCGCTGCTCTTGATGGACCTCTTTGTGCAACACCCCGTGGCCGACGTGCTCACGTTTCTCGAGCTCGCGAACGGCATGACAATGAGCGCGCTCAAGGAATTGAATCTGTTTCTGAGTCGCCTCGACTTGCTTCGACAGTCGCTCGTGCTACCGCTCTTTCTTGACCCAAGGCGCGCGATTCTGTCTCGGTACGTTCTACGATTTGTCATTTGAAAATTGGACAAGTTGTCGTATATGGTAGACTTATCGTGTCGTGCAACACGTTGGATTTGGTCGCAATTGGCGATGTCTTTGTGAGTCTCACGCCGCATACGTGGGAGACGCGGTCGCTCATCATCGAGCAAGTGCGCATGCTCGAAGACCCGAGCGTGCTCTCGCAGTACTTGGCGCTGCACAAGCAAGCGAGTAGTACCCCGAACCTTCTCGCACCGCTCGCTGCATACGCCTCCCTCGCGAGCCACTGCGGCAAGACCGTGCACCTTGTCTTTATCAAGGCGCTCACGCGGCTGCCGCCGACCGACCAAGCCGGGCTCATTACGCTGCTGACGACCACGGGTCGCCCGCTGTCGGCCCCAGTGTTGGGAACAACAGCGCGACCGCCCGAGTATTGGCCCGACGACATGCTCGCGCACTGCTGCCGCGTCTTGAGCGCCTACTCGGACAAGGTTGCGATTGAGATTTTGCGCACGCTCCAGCACGTACCGAGCAGCTACCACAAGGAGATTCTGGCAACGTGCACCGAGCTCACGGCCGAGACTGCATTCCTCATTCACATGATACGGCTCACGGACGACGCCGATGTCGTCTTGGCGTGCGACTTGGTGTATCGGCCGCCTCTGGCGCCGCACTTGGTGCCCGTGGCCACGCAATGTCTTCAGAAAATGCTCAAAGTGTACTCACTCCACGCCGCACTCTTGCAGCTGCGCGCGATGCCTTCGCTGCCCGCATTTTTGAGCTATTTTGACGCAGTGCCATACAAGATGCGGCTTCTTGCAACACTCGCCGACTTTGGCCAAGTGGCCATCCCGCTCCTCGCACTGCTTCGCATTTTGGACCCGGACGATGCGAGCTACCTCTTGCATGTGCTACCCGGTCTCCCGCTCGACCGGCGCACGCGGTTTGAAGCCCAGCTCGTGCTTGAACCCATGTACGTTTCTTCTTGATCGGGCTTGAACAAGACTCTCATTGTCCTACGTAGTCCCCCCATCTTGTCGGCCGATGAAAAAGCCAACTACTTTGGCATTCTCGAAGGCAACGAGCGCACTCTCGAGTCGAATGCAGCTCCGGAAAGAAGTGGTGTCCGCCTCGTGACGGCTTTGTCCGACCTTTTGCCCGACGTTCCGCCGTGGGAGCCCGACCAGCTCGAGCAACACACGTTGGCCGCCAAGCCACTCATGGTGCGTCATCTCTCGTCGGCCGTACCCAAGGCGCGGCTCCCACGTCTAAGTCCCTCGGAGAGTACGCTCCGGAGTCCGAGCAACCAAGTCGTTTTGAGCGCACCGGTCGAGCATCAACAGATACCGGCCGACAAGACAGCAGTCGACACGATACATGACTCGCTTTCCATCGAGCCAAGCCCGGTCGACGACGAGAAGGAAGACACGTATCCGGCGGCGCCAACACCGCGCCTCAAAGTGCGACCCGAGGCGTGGCGGCGCCCCGCGGTGGCCGCCCCTTTGCGCTTGGCGTTCGAGCCCGCGCACTTGCCGCCGCTCGTCGCGCCCCGGGTGTGCACGGCATCACCCGAGCGCCGTCGTCGCGGGCTACTGCTCGAGCTCGTGCCCGACACTGAAGTGACCGACCTGCACCCGCGCCGCCGCCCGCTCACGACGCCAGGGTCCCCGTTCGCAGCGATCGCCAAGGACCCGAACCTCACGACATGGCCACCAACACGCATCCGAGTGGCAAGAACGCCGGAAGCCAAGCAGCTCGTCTTTGAGGCGCGCATCCGCAAGTCCATGGGCACAGCGTCCATGCCATCGCTGCTGCCATCGGCGTCGCCGCACCCGCGCCCGCGAGCGCTGCCACACAAGACGTAGCATCAACCTAGCTTCACAACGGTGTCCGGTATGGTGTCATATTGTCATCTAGTTAATGGACTACATCTGGAGCACATGGCAGGTTCACTATCTGTCCAAAGTGTTGGCTCTTCGTACGGCGAGCTCAGCTGTGTGGCCGGAGCGTCTTGAGGAACGAGTCGAGCACGCTGGGGGCGGCTGCCACCTTCTTCTTCTTCTTCTTATGTCCGTCGAGCAGCTTTCGCGGCGGGCTCGGGAGCTTCCCAAAGAGACCACCTTCCTTTGTGGCCAATGTCGCAAGCGTCGGCGGCGGCGCGACTGGCTCCACGGCCTTGCGCTTGGTGCTTGTGCGCCCCGGCTTGGCCGCGCCGGCGCGGACGTTGGCGTGCTTGCAGCGGTGGCAACTCGAGATGACCGCGTTGCGCACGCGCACGAGGCGAGCACTGGTCGATGGCTTGTGCAAGTGCTTGGCCTTGCGCTGCGCCGCGGCGTGGGCCCGCGCGAGCTGCAGGTTGAGCGGCGCGCCGTGCTTTTGGTGCACAACGCGCACGGTCGCCGAGACGCCGGGCAGCAAAAGCGCGCTACACTTTTCGCAAAAGGCGTCTTTCAAGCTCTGCGGAATCGGCTTGGGCAGCGTTCGGCTCTTGTCGTCTTGGAGACGCAGGAGCGTAGCCACGAACGCCGATGCAAACGTATGCGAGAGCGCGAGGGCGTGGTCGCTCGCCGGCGCGGGCGTGCTGCCGACGAGCGCCGTCGACGGAAGCCGCAGAAGCACAGCGTGGGCCGTGTGCCATTGGTACAGCAGCCGCTGCTGGACGTCCGGGTTGCGGATGCACTCGGCGAGCTCGCGGGCCAGCGCCTCCTCCATCGTGCTTGCACCACCGAAATACCGAATATGGCACTTCAAGTATCAATTGTGAGAGGTTCAGAGTGGCTACCTGCACGCTCCTTACCAAGCGTCCGCTGCGTAGAGGCTGCACTCGTATCCGTGACGTCCATGTGACCCATACGCGCGTCCTTTCTGCTGCCGCGAGAGCATTCTTCACCACGACGCGCTCGTGCCTTGCAGCGTATCGTACAACGGAATAAGAAGCGACGAGCCAAAGTTGCGTATGTTTAGATACAGCCGCTATCTACCTCATAACACGGTGGTGCCGCCAAGCGACGACAATACTGTACATTGCATCAGAGTAATACCCTTTCTTCTATATACCTTACATGCAGCACGCATGATGGGGTCGCGGCGCCTCGACCATCGTCGTCGTCGTCTGGGGACGCCAGCCAACGGCAACCCTAACCCCCTCTGCTCGTTTGACCACAACTACGTCAAACTAGAAAACGTTAGATATAGTGACGACACGTATCCACCATAGCCGCTCGACAACACACAAGACGAGCACCATGACACCAAGCTACGTAGTCTTTTGATGGCGACGCACGACCGCCAGTGCGTCGGCGCCAACCGTCTCGAGGAGCGGCCCCAAAAACACATCGCGGATCGTCACGAGGTCCCGGCCCGCGTCCAAAAACACAGCTGCCACGAGCGCTTCAAACACGTCGGCGTACATCTTGGGCATCGTCGCGCGGTCAATGCCAGCCGCGTCCACGGGCTGCCCCGCGCGCAGCCGCGCAAAGTGGTGCTTGACGAGCCGTATGTTGGCCGCCATCTTTGGGTCCATCTTGACCGCGCCCGTGAGCATGACGTGATCGACGTGAAACGCAATGAGCGCCGTCTTGCCGAGCGCGTCGTTCGAGACGGTCGCGCCCTTCCAACATGTAAGGTCACCCGGTTGCCACGCGGGGTACGTGGTCGTCGCATACGTCAGCACGAGGTACTCGACGAGTGCGTCCCCCAGAAACTCGAGCCGCTCATAGTCGCCCTTGAACGGAGCGGCAAGGGCGGCGCTTGCGTCCGCGTGGCGCATGACGGGCGCGACCGACGGGTGCGCGATCGCTTCCTAGTTTAAAAGCTACCGTCGACAACTGGTACGAGCAGGGCTTGGTGTACGAGGAGGAGGCGCTTGTTGCGGAATTCATACTTGAGCGACGCCTCGAGGATGCGGACGCGCTCGCCAAGATCGTCAAAGTACGACGCGACAAACTCGAGCCCGTGCGCTGCCTACAACGTTTGTGGGTGCGACATGTGGACAACCCTAACCCTCTCGCTACCAGGTTGAGCGGCACCGACGTGCGGGGCAGCGACGGGCGCGGCTGCGGCGTACAGTGCGGCAAGAGAGGACGCGCGTACGCACATTCGAGTGGGTCGAGCGTCTCGTTGCCCAGCCATCTAGAGACAAAGAACAGGTAAGAAAAAAAATACAAAAATCAAGGGAAAATAGCACGGACGACAAGAAGAGCCGGCCGCCACGCTCGCCAAGACCCGCAATGAAGGCCCCACACATGGCTTCGACGGTATCGGCAATCCACTTGACGGGCGCGACGAGCGACTTGGGCGTTCGGCCCACGCAACTCGGCTTCCAGTGAATGAACGGCTGCGTGTCCAGGATTTTTGGGTGCGTCATGAGCTTGTGCAGCTCGAGCGAAATCGCCTTGAGGCACAAACGGTCGTTCCGGATCATGTCGGTGCGCGTCATGTGCAGCGCGCCTTCGTTGTCGAGGTCCCAGCGGCGCTAGTCCCAAAAGTATCAACTTGATACATTGAAAAACTCGGTCGACTACCTCGTACAGGAACCATGTCGATTCAAGCTTGAGGTAGCAGTCACCGAGCGTCTCGAGCGTCTCGTACGCGGGCTTGGACGTCGCGTCGTTGAGGAGCGTCCAGTCAATGTCGGCGCCGACGCGGTCCATGAGTCGCGACAGCTGCAGCTTGCGCTCCAACTCGTACAAGAGCGGGAGCAAGCCAAACGCCTGCACGTACCGAGACCGCGAGAGGCCAAGGACGTCGGTGTGGTCGGGCAAAACGAGCCGCTCCTTCTGGTGCACGGTCGAGGTCCACTGCGGGCGGCGGTCCATAATGTGGCGCATGATAGGCAGCGCCGACGGCAGCTCGATCGCGTACACCAGCGGCTGGTTGGGCTCGGCGCCAAGCAGATCGTCCTTGGTATACCAGCGTCCGAGGATCGGGTTACCCGGTGCTACATCCACGTACGTCACAACGCACCATGCATTCCCAAGCCGTACCCGACTTGGCCCGGCGAATCGTGTGGCCCCAGAACGTGTTGTCGGCGACCACTCGTGCGACCACGTCACCGACCAGAGTCGTCGTTACCTGCATCGCACCACGTAGGCATAGACAGGACGTACAGTCCTACCTGCTTGATGCTGTACGTCACATCCTTGCGCTTTCGTGCGACGCAGACGAGGTCCGCAAGGCGCTCGGGCGGCGGCAGTGGCCAGGCCGGCGTCAGAAACGACCCCATCACGCCACGCATGTGGTCAAAGTCGATCGCATCCGCCGGGTCCAAGGCGACAACCAGGTAGCCCTTGTCGTTGCGGGCCGAGAATTCGCACAGTAAGTCGGGCGACCGGATCGCCGCCAGCGCCGCGTCGACGCCGTAACACGCCAAGCGCAGCAGCATCACGTGATGCCGAACGCAATCGCTGAGCTCCGACAATGCCATCTCCAAAACGCGCGGGGTCTTGTCCACCAGCCGCACGGTCGCTAGCGCTGGCGTCAAGATGCAGCGCGTCGTGCCAAACTCGTAGCGCCACGGTGTGTCCCGCACCACGCCTAGCAAGCTGCAGTCAGCATCGCCATTGCTGCATATACATGGCGTTTACCGCCATACAGCGGCGTCGTCGTCAAGAGACCATAGTCGAGCGAGTCGAGCGGGTAGAGATACAGGGTCACACTCGAGCTCGAGCTCGAATGGGCTGCAAACACTTCGCGCACCGAGCGCAGCCCGAGCTCGATGGCCGTGGTCGCTGGCACATCATAGTTGCTCTGCGTCTCGGTTTCCACCGTGACCGGGTGTGAAGATGGCGTCGTCGACGCTGCGCGGACGTGGCCTTGAAGCCGCGACCGAAACGAGCGGTCTAGAAACCCGCGTCGCAGGAGCTCTTGGCACGCCAGAAATGCTGCTATCGCTTTTGCGAGCTTCTCGCAGTCGACGCGCGGCGACTTGAGCGTCTCCTTGATCCCGAGCGCGGGCGGCAGCCGGAGCATTACTGAATGTTCAAAGCGCTGCGTCATCTCGTCGTCGTCGTCGTCGTCATGCAGGCGGCGGTTCGCCTCGAGTCGCTGGCGCCGTTTGTTTGTCATCGCGGCTTGCATGGCGTGACGTGTGTGCGTGTACTGCGGTCGGTGGTCGGCAATCGCGAGGAGAGGCAGTGTATCGAAGAACGCATCCAGTGTTTCGATACTGTTGCGTACATCGAGGCGCGCTTGCGTGTCGTCGTGCACGACAACGTACCTAGAAAAGTATCATTCTTTCAACTGTACCAAAATAAGACAAAATAAGAAAGCGTACGCGTGGTCGTTGGCGGGCAGGACCGGCGCCTCGACAGCGCGGACGGCTTGGAGACGCTGCTCGAGCACCTCGTGCGGCATGTTGGCAATCTCCATCTGCACGAGGCGCGTCATCTTGGCGTGCAGTGCCTTGTACTTGGTCATCTCCGCCTCGGTGCCCGGCACGATGTAGCGGACGACCCCCATGACAGCGTCCGCGCCTACTCCGAGGGTGAGGCGAGAATGTCTCGTAGTAACCTGCGTACAGCGTCGAAAGTCGAGCAGCTTGTGCTGGTCGTGCAACGTGTCGGCAATGAGCACGAGGTCGCACGGCGCCACGCAGTCCATGTCGTGCGTCAGCGCCGTTGTCACGAGCACGAGGCTCCGTGCGTCGTTGAACGTTGCAATGACATCGCCCATGGACGTCACGCCGTCGCGACAGTGTGCCACGTCTTGGCCGACCATGCTGCACGCCGGCGGTAAATGCGGAAACGACGCCGTCAGGTAGTCGGCCACGAGCCGCGCGTGCGTCCGACGATGCACAAAGATCCACGTCCGCTTTGTCAGCGGCGCATCTCGGAGCAGACTTTCGTTGGCGACAAAGGTGCGGTAGAGCGACGCGACCTGCTGGAGTCGTGGCGTCGCTTGCGTCCGTGGGACGAGCGCCAAAAGATCAGTGAGCCACGATTGGAGGCCGTTGGCGCCGGCCACGGACGCTGCGTGGTCGCTGTCGCTACGTGGCACCACCGGCACCAAAGGTTCCGAGAGAATGCTGAGATGCGTCGATGCGAGGAGACTCTCGGCGTGCGAGGATGACGCAAACTCGATGCCACTCTCGAGTTCGTGGAGCACGTGTTGTACAAAGCACCAGAAACCGAGGTGGTCGAAGACGGCACTGGCGTCGTTGAGGAACCGGTCTTTCCGGCTGGCTAGGCTGGCGTCGTCGCCAGGGATGCGGTGCAGGTCGAGGTACGCGGCGACCAAGTCGATGCCTTTCTCATTGTTGCCAAGCAGAAAGGCTATGGGGTCCGATACAAACATCGAGGACGACGAGCTCGCGTCCTCAAAGACCTCGGCGAAGAGCGGTGCGAGGAGGTCGTGGTTGGTGCGCGTGGCCGCCAGCGTCATGCTGCACGCCGTCGTATACGCAAAGAGCGGGTTCTTGGTCGTATGCAACTCGAGCGCCGAAATCGTCGATGTCGTGAGCGCCACGATGCGCGGCTGGCACGCCTTGTGCAGCTTGGCGTACTTGACAAAGAACCGCTGGTAAAACGCTGGAAAGAGCGCGTGGATCTAGGAAACGAGGAGGTTGCAGTCGGGTTGCAGTTGCAGTCGAGACTACCTTTTCGCAGCTCTTGAAGACGACCAGCGCGACCTTTTCGAGCACGAGCACGTTCTCCTACACCACGTCGTTGGTCGCACCGGTATTGGCATGCAAAGCGGCGAGCGTACTTGCAGGAGGAGGCCGACCATGGCGGCCGTGAGGACGAGCACCTGGGTTGACGCGACTTGGGCCTTCATGTACTCGACCGTCTGCCACGCACGCTCGTTCGTCGGTAGCTGGCCGCCCATGCGCGCATGGCACACGCGAGCCATCGTTGCGTACACGTCCGGAATCTGGCTGCTCCCGGGCACGACCACGAGCACGAGCTTCCCGCGATGCGAGGCGTCGTCCAGCAGCTCGCGCGCAAGCATGGCCGCCACGTGCGTCTTGCCAACGCGGCTTGGTCCGCTCAGCACGACGCTCTGCTGCCGCGCCAAGGCCAGCATCTCGCGCTGGTGCTCGGCGAGGGACATGCAACCGATCCAAGCTCGAATCCGAAATGCCATTGCGTTCGTCTGCGATAAAGTGTGAGAGGTTGCAACCTCTGGAAATCGATATACTCGTTGCCGCCTGTCTTGCAGTCGACCGGCAAGTCGATCTGCAAGTCGAGATTGTAGTCGACTGCAGCTGTCGTCTCCTTGCGCTCACCTTGATCCCTCTGCTGGTAGCGCAGCCTTTGTCTCGCCCTGCGATTGCAGGGGCCTCTGCAGCCCTATGCACTCTTCTGTCAGCACCGTTGGCTACCGGTCAAGCCAATATACTTATACTACATGCGAAAAATGGGCTGCGCGTAGAGCTACGGAGGCTAACCAGTTGTGCTACTAGTAGGCTTTGGCGACTCGTCCTTGCACTGGCAGAGCTCGTTCTTATGCTGCCGTAGCTGTCTCCGTCGGCGGTGGCCACGACTTCGACGCTCGACAAGTCGCCCCTGCAAGATGACGCATTCTAGTAGAGAGACCGAGTAGTACAGTTAGTCGAGTAGCACTCGATGGGGACCTCGGCATCCTTGTCATGGCAAGTTGAACTGGGCCTGGCGGGAACGGCGCGTATCCGGATGTCCGCTAAAGATCGTCTTTATCCGGACACTGAAATGGCCCAAAATGACTGGTCGATACACTGGGCGGCGTGGTGGTTGGTGCCATTTTGCATCCTCCACGAGTATGGCTCCGAAGACGAAGCGCGCGGCCGATGCCATGACGACGACGCCCGCAATCGCCGAGCCGACGACGACCGAAGAAGACGGCGACAGCGTCGAAGGCGACGTGCCATCGCCGACCTCGGTCCTCGCCGCCTGCAAGGTGCACCGCTGCCGCTTCTTGAAGTACGAGCCGAGCACCGTGACCGCGCTGGCCTACAATGCCGATGGCACGCGCCTCGCGGTCGCGCGCCAGAACGGCGACGTCGAGCTCTGGAACGTCAACGGCCATGACATGCATTTCCACGCGGTCGTCGGCGGCCGCGGGTCGGCGGTCACCTCGAGCGTGCAGTGGACGTCGACTGGTCGCCTCTTTGCGGCGTCGCTCGATGGCATGCTCCGCGAAATCGACCTCGAGTCGCTCCGCTTCATTCACGCGCTGCATGCGAACGGCGGCCCGATCTGGTGCATGCAGTACCACGCGTCCGACAACACGCTCGCGGTCGGCTGCGAAGACGGCCGCGTCCGCCTCTTTACGATGGACGAGGACGAGCCGCTCTACTTCCGGAAGGCGCTTGGCAGCACGGGTCGGCGCGTCGTGTCGGTCGCGTGGCACGCGGCCTCGGACGCGCTCTTTAGCGGCAACGACGAGGGCGTCATCTACATGTGGAACGCCAGCACGGGCCGGAACGAGTCGCGCATGACGCTCGAGCGGTACGCCAGGCACACGACCGCAGTCGTCTGGAGCCTCCTCGTGCTCGACGACCTCACGGTCATCTCGGGCGACTCGAACGGCAACGTGCAGACGTGGGATGGCATCACGGGTACGCTCATGCAGACGTTTGCGCAGCTCACGGCCGACGTGCTTGCGATGGCACTGGACCCGACCGAGACGGTGCTCTTTGCCTCTGGTATTGACAACCAAGTGATTTCGCTGCGCCGGTCGGCAACGACCAAGCTCTTCAACTACACGTACAGCCACCGCGCGCACACGCACGACGTACGCGCGCTTGCCATCTCGGGCAACGCCGACGACCCGCTCCTTGTCTCTGGTGGCGTCGACACGCACCTCATCACGTACCCGACGGCCACGTACAACACGTGCCGTCCCACCAAGATCTCGCCGCTGCCGCCGCGCCAGTTCCTTGCGCTTGCGACCGAGAAGCGCCTCTTGCTCTCGCAGCACACGACAGCCCTCGACGTCTGGAGCCTCGCCGGCGCCGCGCCCAAGCTCCTCGCGCAGCTGCAGATGACCGGCGACGCCAACCTTGTGTGTTCGGCCATTTCGCCCAACGGCGAGTTTGTCGCTTGCTCGACGTCGACCGAGCTCAAGGTGTTCCGCCTCGAGGGCCACAACGTGACCAAGGTTGCGCTCACGGCGGCGCTCGCGCAGCCGGCGTACTCGCTTCTCTTTACGGCCGACTCGACGCACTTGATCACGGGCGACGTCGTTGTCCGCGTCCTCGACATGCAGTCGCTGAGCGTCCTCAAGACCTTTTCGACGCCGCATGCGCTTCAGACCAAGACGCTCGCGGTCTCGCGCGACGGCCAGTGGCTCGCGTCTGGTGACATTGGCAACCATCTCTCGGTACGCTTTTTTTCTCGATTTTTCTCAATTTTTCAGCATTTCTTATCTCTGTGGGGGTAGGTGTTCAACCTCGACTCGATGCAGTACTATTGCGAGCTGCCGCAGCCTGCCTCGATGCACACGGCGATCGCGCTCGACCCGAGCGGCAAGACGCTCGTGGCAACGACGATCTCGAACCACTTTGCCTGCTACGACGTCGAGCGCAAGAGCCTCACCGACTGGAGCCGCGAGAACGCCCACAAGCTCCCGGAGGAACTCTTCGCCATGCATGCGTCGCTCCAAGGCGTGCTCTTCCACCCGACGCAGCCCAACTCGATCGTGCTCTGGAGCCAGCGCTTCATGCTGCACATCGATATTGACCAGCCGATCCAGGCGCCGAAAGCCACAAAGCGCCGGCGTCTCAGCGTCGCGGCCAAGGACGACGACACGTCCGGTGACGACGCCGACGTGGCGCCGGCCTCCACGTTCCACTTTGTCGACAAGTATGGCCCGATCGCGTACGCTGCGTTTTTCGCCACCTCCAAGTTGCCCGAGCTCGTGCTGGTCGAAACGCCCTTTTTCAAGATGCTGCACGCACTCCCGAACGCACTCAAGCGCCGCAAGTACGCCCAGTAAGCAGCAACGCCGCTGGCGATATTGTCCTAGATTTCAGAACCATCAACTATCGTATATTCTACCTCCCGTCTCGCAATCGTCGTGTCTCGATCGGTTTGTATCAATGTATCGACGAAGTGCAGCATGAACGTCGCGCTCGCAGGAGGGTGTTTTCTGCATGGGTGCACAGAGGCCTCCCCTTGAAGCCGCAGTAGTATTGATGGTCCATCATCGATCGATCGAACTTGCTATCTTGTTGGTGGATTGGTGGTTGGAGCAAGTGATAGATATGTGATGCCCTTGCAGGAGAAGCGATCATGCTCACTGATCTAGGAGCGTCTATGTGGTCGGCGTGTTGCGACGAGCAGTGGACTCGGCGTACACGAGCTCGATATTAGTAGAAATGAAGTCGACTTGCTTTCACGAGGTAAATTGATACTTTGATACAAACGCGTGGGATCGTGGTTTCGCGGCATGGTCATGGACGAGCGTTGGTGTGTGGACCGGTCGTTTGTCGCTGCGAGCACAAGTCACAAAGGCGGCTTGTGATCGCATCCCGTGCTTCGTAGCAGTAGTACATGGCCCAGAAGAGGGCGCCGATAATGACCAAATTGATCAGGCTCGCGAGGAGTATCGTGTCAAATGATGCATAGCTGCTGGGCGCCTTCTCGACCACAATCGACGTGCACTCGCATTGGAGGTCGACCGCTGGGCGTCCGCACACCTGGTTGGTGCCACAGCAACACACTTCTTGGAACCCGTGCTTGATGTACGCGCCGCAGTACTGGCCGGGCTGGCCGCGGTG